GTGAGAAATATATTGATTAATATAACGTACACAATCCTAATTGAAGGAATTATTTTGTAATCCTAAAAGAGGATTATCCAACGCATCACGCGTTGTGGAGAGGAAGTCGTATTCCAATTTGGAATCGAGGAAAACTCGCGAGAGAACTGAGAAAATAAGAGCAAAAGCACACTCGACCCGTTCAAATCTCTACCGAGGACAGATTAATTATTAAGGAAGTGCGAGATGCGAGAGGGTTTTCCCTCCTACCACCATATTCCCCTTTCGTTTAAAGAATCTTTTTGTTTGCAAATAGAAAATATGTGATGTTGATCTGTTTGGTTTAATTGTTAAGCGGGTGAGGGGTTGGAATAAATCCTTTTGTCGAATTTATTTGTAAGATATCGCAACCGAAGGTGGGTAATATCATCTCGTTAGGGCCGTTAGCCCGTCTCTTGGCGCCAAAACAGTGGTTTCGAATTACCCGTACTCTCTGCCAAGAAGCGATCCGTTAAATCACCGGCTGACTTTTCTCACCGCGCTTACGGCCCCGTCGAGCTCATTAGACGTCGTCGATTAACTTTCCCGTGGCTCTTCTCTTCCATTCCGCTCCGAGTGATTTCACGCCTACGAGAAAGTACGCATGGCGTAAAGTTACGATAGCAATATATAGTTGTGTGCACTTAACAACTTGGTAAGGACACCGGTATATAAGGCTAAAAAGTCATTGACGAAATTCAACGTAGACAAAACATCTAATATTTCTACGTCGAGAGTAGGCTAAGCCATTGACTACGTTTAAGCCCGAAATAAATTGCTCGATGATCTTTCAACGATGTTTATCCAAGGAGAAATTTGTAAATGTCATTTCGCGTTCAACGTCAACTGTTATTCCATGTCAAATTATGACCATTTTTTTTTTCCTTTGAAAACGTAATTAACGCGAAAGGGTTTAAATGATATTGCAATTCTTTTAGGTAGAACCAATGGCCCCGACAGATCTTCCTTCCCGTTGGAAAGTTTAGCGATGTCAAATAAGATCCGACAGCTTAACGCTCATTTAACTCGGTTACATCCGACCAACTTCTTTCGAAACTTCTCTTTCTCTCTCTTTCCCCGTGTATCTTCTCTACCTCCTATTATTTGAAATGGTTTTACGTGCGTTCACATTTTACGGGCTAACGAATTTTCAGAATGGAATAGATAAGAATAGGATTTCCCGTGGCGAAGTTCGAAGAAAATCGAAAGATGTGAAAAAGTGGTGCAATGCTATGATGATGATGATGATGATGATGATGTTACGGGGAAAGAGAAACTAAGAGTTTTAAATTTATCGTCTGGAACTTTTTATTCGAGTGATTCCGTAGGGAGGACCCTATCAAGAGAGGAGACATGCCCTCTCTTCTTCGATTACCGAAAACACAGCCGGTCACCGCACCAAATTATCCAACTTTTTACCTCGTTCAATGCCTAATGACTTTCTCCCTTTTTTTCTTTTAAATTAAACTCGATTCTTCTTCTTCTTATTCTTCTTCTTTTATCCCCCCTTTTTTTCTATCTCTCTCTATTGGCTATGAAATCTATTATTTCCAAATTAACAGAATTGATAGGTTCCTGTAAAAAACTTTATTCGATTTTTAAATCGAATTTTTGTAAAATAAAGTTATGACAAATAAAAAGGGAACAAAAGATTGTGCATATAGGAAGTAAGTAAAAGGGGTGCAGTACTTTGGTCATATAACCCCTCTAGAATTCGAAGGAGGGTAGTTTGCTCCATAAGCTGGACGAACGAACGCTTTGAAGTCTTGCACGAAGGCCGAGCGTAGAAAGCGGACGAAGTAAATTTGATTTCGTAGAAATTCCAAAGTGCAAAGCAGTCTCGAGTGTACGAGAGAACGAGAGAGAGAGAGAGAGAGAGAGAAGGACGGAGGATGATGATAAAAGAAAAAGAAGAACTTACGGGAAAAGGGTAGAATTACTTGCATGACCGACTACAAATGCAAGAACGCATCCTCGTTGAAACTTCGTTAACGAGAACGTTACTCGATCCTCTTGAATTTAATGAATATTTCAAATGCATTGGACAACACAATGGCAAATCTTTTAACTTTTCTCTGACTTTTTTCCTTTTTTTCCTCTCGTCCAATTTACTATCTGCGAAATCATTTTTAGCTACTCTTTTTCAAATTATAAAATCGATTACAATAATTATCAAGTAAAAGGGAAAGCATATAAAATGAAACAAACGAATAGGAGTTCCAAAGAATAAATTTCGTTTCTTCATCTCTCAAATTAACTTTATTTACCCGTGGAGAAAACGGCAAAACCGAAGAACCAAGCTTTCGGGATTAAACTACTATTAGGGACACTTTAATTTGATTTTCTTGATTGCGGTAGCCCAATCATATTTCGTTTAACAAATTTTGCACTATTGTGTTGCTAAAAGTTCCTATTTACTTTTAACTCCTTTCTCTATCTAAAAAGGAAAAAAAAAAAGAAATAAGAGAAACAACGATAAGAATTTTTCGCAAGAAAATGAAAAAAATTCTTTCGCCCGAACAAGATTTCGCCGGGGTTTAAAAGTTCGGCTTTATCGTTGATAATAAAACATCGTTCTTCTTTCCTGAGACTTTTCCAATTCTCTCGTGGCCAGAAGAAGATTAAAATTGATCGAAACTACTTGCCAAAGTTCTTTCGCCTTTTAAGATAACTCGGTTCATTCCAATTCTTTTCTTTTCGACGGAACGTTTGTAAAAGCTCCTGTTAAATCACTGAACAATTCCACCGAGAGTCTCTTCGATTTTTCGACAAGAAACCATTAAAAAAAGAAAAAGAAACAAAAATTGTCGGGAGTAATTCAACCCTGTATTTTTGGATTATGAATTTTTCAACGAGAAAATCAAATAGAAAGAAGGTAAACGAAATGTTTGATAAAGGAAGAATCACTTGAAACATCAAATAAAAAAGAAAAATAGCAGAGGGAGAAAGAAAGAGAAAGATAAATAAAAAGATAAAAAGACAAAGAGGATTTATTTTTCAGTTTGTGGGAAATATCCGCGTACCTTTGGGACGAAGGGTTATATTAGTGGGTGTATATATATATTACTGCAGCAATTCTACACACTAGGAGAAACAACCATCGTTCTCTCGTTTCTCTCTTTGTCTTTTTCTTTTTTTTTTTTATCCCCCTAGCCGCAGTTCCTCTCTTGCAGCAAAGTTAATTGCCAGATCAAAGACCTACGAGTTTCCGAACTCTCCACGCGACTTTAACTCGCAACCCTAACGTGCGAGCTTTGTGGCTCTTAAAGCTTACTACCCTGGAACCCCTTCGACGTTTCCTTTTTTCTTTTCGATCATTCTACCACGATTTACCGTGAACGCTCCACGTTAACGTTCCTTGTTTCTATCCTATATTTTTTGTATTTTCCAATTTATTCTCGTTCACATATATTGTCGACTTAGAAAATAAGGTGCTACCGAAGAAGAAAAAAAAGTAGTAAGAGGGTAAAAGAATCGACTTATGCTCTCGTTGAAAAAGTAGACGCTTGTTTTCGACGACTAATAGCAAGACAAGAGGAGAACGTCTTGCCAGGATCATATTTCACGGCACTTTCACAGAGGGTAAACGTGAAAGAAAGAAGAAGCAAGGCACGAAGCACTATCCGTGCCGAATTTTTCCCTACTCGTCGTCGTTGAAGGCTGGAAGGAAAACCCAAAGACGTTCCCCTCCTCTCTATTGTAACTCGTCAGAAAAGGAATGAGAGAGACAACGAAGCTAAGATTACCACGAGAGATGCCTTTTTCAAACGACATCACAGTCATTATCCTCAAATTTCTTTTATACAATCCAAATAAAATGGTCAAATTAATTCCACCAGTTCTCATATTCCAAATCCGATCCAACTGATCATTGCAAATGAATAAAAACGAGCTAATAAATTTGATATTTAATCAATTCGATATTTAATTATTGATCCTGAATTTTAGCAAAGTATAAAATAGTCATAAATTCAAAACCATTGGTATTCTGTTGAGAATTGTTAACTCTTTGGGGTACGGTGGAATTAAAAGTATCCTACCTTTAATAATTGAAGATCGATCATCCTGCAGGAAGGAAATTGACATGGGGGCCAAGAGACGGAGCACTTAATGTTCTCCTTTTGCGCGTGCGATGTTCCCTCTCACGTTCCTTCCCTTGCAAGACTTTGCGATCCTTCGTTTGTAAACACATTTAAAAGGACGAGACTGTGGTATTCGAGGAGCTTTGCTCGAGTTCTCTTGCCATTCGGACCATTCTGAGTTTGTGGCGTTGCTGGCAACTTGTCTCAATTTACGGGAACGATGCTTGCATTCCGTGGACAGCAGACTCCCAAGCCTCCACACCACCAGGCTAATTTATATTAATTTTAGACGCGTATATATTCGAATTAACACGCTACTATCCCGCGAGAAATCACGAGGAAACGTCTCCCGATGCTTTTCGAGCATTCCACCTTTGAATTCGTTGGTAGAAGAAGGGAGAGAGAGAGAGAGAGAGAGAGAGAGAGAGAGAAAGAGGTATGCTTCGTCTATGTGTTCTCTCTATCTGTGGGAGAAACAAAAACAAACAGATGAACAGAGAGAAAGAATAAAAAGAAAAAGAACAAGAAAAAGAAAAAGAAGAAGAAGAAGAAGGTACGAGAATAAATCAAAGCGACGGCACGCGCTTCCTTCCTTCTCTTTTCGAAAAACCAACGAGCTGCTTCATTAATCTCAATCGGGGATGCGTTTCCGTGCTTTTCATTTTCCTTTTAATCTCCATTCATACCCGCTCGATTTTCCTTGATCCGTTCTTTCATCCAGCCTAAATCAACATTCCAGTAGTCCACTCTACAAATTGCTGAATTAATTATCCGTATTAACGGATGTAACTATTACACCAACTTTCAAACGATTTTCTCGATCTATCTTTTTTTCTTATCTCAACGTTTCTAGAATGTTGTTAAAGTCTCGTTCATTTGTTTTATCCTATCTGTTTTTAGATATCATACATTCTGGATCCGAGAACTCGTCTACTTGCATAATGGTCGCCTGTTGTTTATGGTATATATTAATTCTTTTCTTACAATATATTTATTAACGAAACATCTCTAAATTAAATATATATGAACATTCCTAAGAACTGGATGACGTTCATTCATAGAATAGAAAATGATTGGAGGCTTCTTGCATCTTCTCTTGATTGAAGAATGATCGATCCCATAACTCTAAAGGAAAATCAAGAGGAGAAAGCAGAGAGTTCAGATGTCGTAATTAATTTTCGGAAGTCGTTAACCGTCGCTTCCTTATCCAGTTATCCAACACCTAAATCAGTCCTGAGCGAAGCGACAAGCAGCTACGTGCTTCCGCCTGTAGTCTCTTAAATCCTTCTTATCCCTTGAATTATATGCATCCGTAGATGCAACGCATAGATGAAGAAAGAGAAGGAGGGAGGGAAATAGAGAGTGAAATTTTATTTGAATTTGTACGCGTCTCTAGCAAGTTTCTTAGCTTCTTCGTAAAGATTGGAAATGGTCCAATGTTGTGTAGCAGACAGGAATGCAGACCCTCCTCTATCCTCCCTTCTTCCCCCTTCCTTTCTTTCTTATTATGCTTTTTTCTTCAAATCTCTAGAATCTCTAGTTCTATGCGCACATGTATATGTCTATGGATAAACGGTGGGAGGTGTTAAATCACCGAGAACGGACGTCGTCGTCGTCGTCGTCGTCGTTCTGTCACAACGTCAAGTCGTGCCTTTGAATTATTCGAAATTTAATCTGCTTTTAATTCGCAATCAGATATAAACCTTTTAAACAGACGAATGGCGCTACATTACCAACGATTAACGCGTTCATTAGTTAGACTTTTTATTTTGAATATTTGTACATTTTTTGATGGCACTGGAATTTGGGAGAAAAAAGAAAACAGTTTGTTTTCTCTCTTCCTAAAAATATTATATCATCGTCGTCATCATCATCAAAGATGCAACTCAGAAGGGAGCCAAAAATCAAAGATCGATTCGCGATTCGGTTGACGCTTACACGTAGTAGACAGATAAATGTATTGGTGGGAGGCGCCTCTAACGATTGCCAAGGAGTCCTAGACTCGTGATCGCATTGTTAGACTTGAAGACAAAGTGCTTTGTACCCGAGTTCTATTACACTTACACATTTGCTTTACCTTCGTTCGTTCGTTCAAATGACTATCCGCTTCTATTCCTTACGTCCCGACACACTAATTTCATGTCTCTAGGTTGAGAATACGTGTTACTTGACCTAGCTAAAATATTTCAACAATTTTCTTTCTTCTTTCCTTTTTTCGTTCTCCTTGAGATCCTGATGCCAAATAACTTTTTTTTGAGTTACTCATAAGGAATACTAATTATCTTTAAACTCCACGAGCGTATTGCAACGTTGGCACGAAACGTCAGTCAGTATCCATCTGTTTAAACTAAATTCAAGCGCAAATTATTCTCACACCAAGTCCGGATTCGCGACCTACTTTATTCGGTATAAATGATGAAAAAGGTTGTGATCATTTCTCGAGAGTCCTTCGTTTAGGAACGTTAGCATTATTTGAAATAAAACAGAGGTCCGAGATGTGAAATTGAATATCCGCGGGTACTCGAAGAAGGAATATTTTTTCTTTTCGATTAGTTGGAATTTAGGATTGAAAGTTTTGTCTTTTTGGCTCAACTCTCGTGCGTCCATCCGCGGTGTTACGTAATTGGTAGCAGGTGGCGAACGACGGAAGGTGGTTGGCCCACGCAGACCCGACTAACTGTGAAACTAACGAGGAAAAAGAGTAAGAGGAAGAACGACGAAGAAGACGACGAGGGAAAGGCGTCTGCGACGTTGGCTATAAATAATAGAGGGAATCCCAAGGTGCTAGAAGAACTTACTCGCATATATACTTCACGAGAAAATATACACTCGCTCATGCCAGTTGCACTCTGATCGCGATCGACACTTTCGAATTCTTGCTTATTTCCATTTAGGATTCGTCAATAATTCCAACTTCAAATTGCATTCTTCTGTTCCTCCTTTTTCTTATCCTTTTCTTTTCTTTTTGTTTTTAAATGTAAATAGAAAAATTCAGCCCAGAGACGTACGTTCACACGTTCACCTCTCATCGATCCAGCAGAATATTTCAACGATAACCAAACTCTGCAAACGAATAGTAGGTCGGAAAACAAAAGGGCATGGAAAAGTAAAAAAGAAACAAAAAGAAGGGAGTCAGCAGGAATAATAGGAAACTGCTTTGAATGTCGTCGTTTCTTTCCTATGCTTTTCGTATTCCTCCTTGTTGACGACACGAGCATGCAATGACCCAGATTGGTAAAGCGAACTGCCCAAGACTGAACCATCCCTTTTTCCCGGCGCTTATTTTGAACGATTTGCAGTCGTTCTTACTACTTCCTTCCAGTCTTACGATTTTCCTTGCTGTGGGCGTAAGAGTAGATGTCTAAGGGATTCCCATTTTTCATTTTTCGTGTTCATTCAACTCGTGACATTTAACGGAGCTCCTTCATTATGGGAAACTTCTTCTTTTTCTCTTCCTATTCCAATGAGGTCTTGAAAAATTCATTAAACCAAACGATTACTCAAAGGAAACTTTTCTTCCCTAGAGAAAATTCTTGAAAACACCAATAATGAAAGAGAAGGATAAAATGTCAAAAAAGAAAAATGGAAAGAGGAAGAGAAGAAGAAGAACAAAGTAACCGCTAGTAACGTAGATCTATGTAGCTCTGTCTTGCACTCGGTTAGGAATTTCGCTGATGAATTATGAAAGAGCGGAGTCTGCGAAACATCGAAAGGTCGTTGGTGATAATGTCTGTATCGCATTCACCGGAATGCAAGAGAGTGCAGCAAGGCAACTCGACGATGCCTCTAATCGACAAATTCCACTTGATAATTGCAATAACCGTCGAGCATCCACTTGTGCACTCTTTCAACGCTACTGGCAAATACGATATGGGAGTAGTAGTTCATTTCAGATCGGTTTGTTTATCAAGATACATACTTCATCCTTTTTCTTTTTTTCTTTTTTATATTGTTGTAACCAAGATCAACCTAAATAAGGACGACTTTTTAATTAAAAATTTACTCGACGTTTGAGATTAATGAAGTCTCAAATGAAATTTACCAAAGAAACCACGTCTTCGAACGCAAAAATGATGATTCCTGTCATTTAAACGAACAAAGATAATCCTCCGTAAGATTTATGTTCGCGAATATCACGGAACATGTTTAATAAAGCTCAGAATGAAAGATATTGCAAAGCTTTATTCTAAAGATATCCGCATTACCATCAGCAATATAAACTCTATTCTATCTACTCCTTCCAAGTTTTGTTGCTACGAGCTAGAAAGACATTATCGTTTATCGTAAACGATGGATCCCTAGGGTAGTTTCCAAGACAACCGAGGGTTAAATTCGCATCTCTTGATTTTCCTCCTACATTTCGTTCATATCCCGTGAGACAAGAAAAAAAAAATGTACTTAAAAGAAGAACGAAAAATAAACAGAATTGCTCGATTTGTCATTTAAATCCTGAGAAGACGCAAATAAAAACGATATATAATATAATACAAAAATAGGAAGAAATCGGTAAAATTTTGGTTTGTTTTCCAGACAAATCTGGCGTTGGTTTTAAGTTTGGAAGAAGTGTCCGGATTCGCGGACGAGGTTGTCCTGGTGTTTAGCGGCGGTGGGGGCGGAGAAGGCGGGAGGAGGGAGAGCCAAGGAAAGAGGACCGAGGTGAAAAAAGTTCGATATTATCCGCTGAAATTCGAGAAATCTCTTGTCCAAAGTGGCTAAGAGCGTAAGTCCCCGTCGAGTGCACCAAGAGTGCTCCGGGGTGGAGGCGCAGGTGCAGGTGCAGCAAGAGAGGCGAGCACCGAGGCGCATGCCTCACCTGGGGCCTGACATGACAACCCGGCTGTCCGCCATGTTTTACACGGTCGAGGTCGGGGACACCAAGTTCACCATTCTCAAGCGATACCAAAATCTCAAACCAATTGGTTCCGGTGCTCAGGGAATCGTCTGGTGAGTCGAATTTCTTTTTTATTCGATTCATCCTCATTTCAATCATTTCTCATTTATTTCGATACGAGTGTTTCATTGTCCTTAGAAACGTGCACGTTTTATTTTATAATTGGATCAACAAATCTCGCTAATAATCAATTGATCAAAATCTTCAAGAAAAATTCATCAGCAAACTGTTATTCTTTTCCCTTCTACTTTGTTAATCTCTGAATGAATTGAATTGAAGTAAACTAGAAGGCTGCTTTGTCGTAAAGGCGATTGTTTGTTGATCCAAAATCCAAACGTAATGCGTTTAACTGTGCTTTATTGTTAGTGTTTCTCTTTCTCTCTTGTCGAAATCGATTAAAGATGAAGTAGGTAAGTTGTGTTTAGTGTCTTCTTTTGTTACTTATTTCTTCTTTCTCTTTCTGGCACTGATCTTTCTTTCTCTTAGCACTCTGAATTATTCTCTAGACAAGGAGAGATGTATTTGGTAAGTCCTGGAGTATACGGATATTGGTTTTCGATGAAATTCAAGTACTAGTCTCGGCTAACAAAAAGGTAAGTTTTAGGATGCAATAAGATCGATAGCACATTCAATGGAAAAAGCTTCGGGAAAATTGCCGATCGAGTCATCTTTTACGGCTATGCCTTTTCCTTTAACTTAGACCATAAGATATAACCTATACAATGTGGAGGATTTTCGATTCATCGATCGGCTTGATAAAAAGGGGAAGAGACTTCTACTTCTTCTTCTTCTTCTTCTTCTTCTTCTTCTTCTTCTACTCTATTATCCGATGCAATTTATTTCTTTTTTTGTTTTTTTTTTACTTCTTGCGATTGTTTTCGGTACATTTCCTTCTTTCTGTTTTCTTAAATTATCAAAACATAATTTAAAAGAGGGAAATGTCGTAAAACGAGAACCATCCATACTTACGATCCTATTTAATTATTTAACGTATGCTCCTGAATCTCTATGCACGTTTCTTTTAACATAATAATTCATTTCAAGAGTCGTGTAACAAAGATCAGTGTCTTCTATGTCTACTAACGCCAATCATATAACACCTCATTATTTTCATTTATATTACTTTTAAGTTTATCTTATTTATGATTATTTTGTATGATTTGATTATCCTTTTGCATGGTTTTTGGACCCATCCGAACGATACAACATCCTCTTTAGCAAACTTTCTTTGATATTTCAAGAAACTTCGGACAGATTTGCAATAGAAAATGTGGTGAAAAAAAAAGAAGAAAAAAAATGTATGGATGGTTCCGACAATCAGGCAGGATCTGTCCATCGACAAAGAGAATTTGCAGTAGAATTATTTTTCAATCCAATGAAAAAAAAGAACAAAATGAAAGACACGCAGGAAATATAATATTATTAAATTCTTTTTGTCAAAATAAGGCAAACACGACACGTTGTTTTCTTCTTTCCCTTTGTATCTTGTTGTGCTTGTCGTTGGTTTGGTAGCTAGAGCTGCGCGTATACGGTAGTTAACGTAGGAGCCAAGTTCGAGCGAAACGGGAGAGGGAAGAAAGAAAGAAGGGAGGAATATTAGGCAGTTAAGGTATGGCTAACGCAGTACCCGCAAGCGCAATGGAACCTGCCAACGTTAGAAGTGGTTATCGCCGTCATGTTTTCGGTGATACCGAACTTTGCATACCTGAGAGATACATTGACGTCGAGCCACGTGGCGTTGGCGCACAGGGTGTCGTTTGGTGAGTCGTTTTTATCATTCCTTTTTTTAGCCTCGAACCTACCCAATGGATATTCATTAGATATTTAATATTATTTATCATACAAATTCTACCTGTTCAAAATGATCCATCAATCTTTTATGCCTTTTTTCCCTGATGTTTCTGTTACAGTGCTGCATACGACACAGTCACGGCGCAAAATGTGGCGATTAAGAAGTTGTCGAGACCTTTTCAAAACGTGACACACGCTAAAAGAGCCTACAGAGAGTTCAAACTCATGAAATTGGTCAATCACAAAAATGTAAGTTATCAGATTAGAATCCTTTCGTTATTAGCATCCCTCCCCTTATTTTTATGGGTCAGTCTTGTTAATATCTTCCAAGTATATACACATGAGATCATTATAAATGTTTCCTGGAAATATTATCGCCCAAATCTTTATATATAGTTACACTTGGATGATTTATCTTACAGATAATCGGTCTTTTAAACGCGTTTACGCCGCAACGGTCGTTGGACGAGTTTCAAGATGTGTATTTGGTGATGGAGCTTATGGACGCGAATCTGTGTCAGGTGATCCAGATGGATCTGGATCACGAACGTATGTCTTATCTGCTTTACCAAATGTTATGTGGTATCAAGCACTTGCACTCTGCTGGTATCATTCATAGGGTAAATATATTTCATTTTGACAAGCATTTTCAACGCTTAATAAATCATTGATTTCGTTCAAACGAGAAGATTCATTCTGTTATCAAATAACAGGATCTAAAACCAAGCAATATCGTTGTCAAGTCAGACTGCACGTTAAAAATTCTCGACTTTGGTCTGGCGAGAACTGCCGGAACAACGTTTATGATGACACCATACGTAGTTACGCGGTATTATCGAGCGCCAGAGGTAAATCAAATAATTGATTAAATAAAATTGTAAGATATTTTCAAACTAGAAACTTGGATCGTGGTCTCGTTTGATTATTGACGAATGACTATAATATTGTTATTTTTATAGGTGATATTAGGTATGGGCTATAAAGAGAACGTGGACATATGGTCGGTAGGATGTATCATGGGTGAAATGATCAGAGGCGGCGTACTTTTTCCCGGTACGGATCACATCGATCAATGGAATAAAATAATTGGTGAGTTTGAATAGAAATCGTTAACGCCTATCCTAAATTATGTGCTATCATTTATTTATTTATTTTGTTTGTTTTTTCTATATAATCGTAGAGCAACTGGGAACTCCGGCGCAGGAATTCATGCAACGGTTGCAACCAACGGTGAGGAATTACGTGGAGAACAGACCGCGATATCCTGGATATCCGTTCGACAGGCTATTTCCGGATGTTCTGTTTCCCTCCGACTCGTCGGAGCATAATAGATTAAAGGGTGAGTAGGTCAGCGAGTCGTCGGCCCTTATTCCTAGTTAATCGATCGGCGTTTTTACACGACGACGGAGAAAAGCCTTCCTCCTCCTCCTCCTCCTCCTTATCAGAGAAGATCCCATCCTATTTCTAGATTATTTTTACTTACGATACAACGCGACAAAACAAAAAACAACTCTGTCTATGTGGTAGTAATATTATTTTCTTTCTCTTTCTTCCTTTTTTTTTTTTTTGTTTCACTTATATATTGCAGCGAGCCAGGCTAGGGACCTATTGTCGCGCATGCTCGTCATCGACCCAGAACGACGCATATCCGTCGACGACGCGTTGCTTCACAATTACATAAACGTCTGGTACGACGAGGGTGAAGTCAATGCTGTAAGTATCGATCGATTGTAATCGATCACTCATCAAACGTGATCACACACTCTTTTTTCTTTTTTTTTTTAATAAAGACGAATAACACACGAGTGATCTTTTTCTTCTGTTTTTTTTCTCTTTTCTTTTTGTTTTTGTATATTTTGTTATTTAGCCCGCACCTGGCCCATACGATCACAGCGTGGACGAGAGGGACCACGGTGTCGATCAATGGAAAGAACTGATCTATCAAGAGGTCATGGAATACGAGACAAGCCATAATTCGGCAGCGGTTGCTCAGCCCTCGGAAAGTGCAGGCTCCCGGTAGATACAGCGAAACTTCTTCTCCTCGCAGCTTTTCTTCTACACTTAGAGAAGAGAGAGAATTGTTCAAAAAGAAAAAAAAACAAGAGGAGGAGTGTCTTGTCGTATAAGATAGAGAAAGAAATAAATATTAGTAGGCTGCTACTGGAACTCTCTCTCTCTCTTTCTCTCTCTTTCTCTCGCTCTCTTTTTCTCTCCTCCCTCTGTTTCTCTTTCTACCGATCCTCGAGCCATCGTTCTCAAAATGTTTGATAAATCAGACTAGCGACAAGTCTCTAAAAAAAATAGAGAAATTCCTCCTTCTTAATAAAGGAACAAGATGCAATTTAAAAATAAGCTACGAATAAACTTGGAATAATCTGGACGAAGAGGAGGAAGACGTGGAGAGAGCAAGCAAACTGTCCATTTTCTACTTTTTTTTTTTGTTCTCGTTGCTTTTTTCATTCTAGGAAAACGAGCAACGTCAAAGAACATTCGGCCACGTTATTTATTACCTAACACATCTATCTATCAATACGAATATATATATATATATATATCTCTGTTAATTTTCGTTGTTCACTTGTAGAAGATAAGCTTTAGGATCTTTTAGATCGAGAGAGAGCGAATAGAATATTATCGCGGTTTCCTTCTTACTCACGATCGAAACATTAGTAATCTTTCCCGTTTTTAAGAACTAGTTCGATTCATTTTTTCTCAAAGCTCTCTCTTTCTCTCTCTCTCCCTCTCCTACACACACACACAAACATATATACACATTCTCTTTCTCTCTCTATCTCTTACTCTATCTTCTGAAAAGTAAACTTTCATCGTAAGATGGAGAAAATACCAAAATAATAATAACAGCAGTGAAAAGAATATAAGAAGAAGGAAGAAGAAAAAGACGAGATAAAAAAATTGTAATTCTGTAATAGTCAAAATAAACCGTAGTCTTAAACGTGCTTTCCAGAGAGAAGAAAAAGAAAAAAAAAAATAATAAAATAAAATAAAATAAAAATGCGGATCGCGCGAGGGGAACGACGAAGACGATCGATCGATCGATCGTCCATGATTAATTTAAAAGAAAAAAAAGGAGAGAAAAAGAAAAAATAATAATAATAATATAAAAGCATTGTTTTCGTTCTGTTCCGTCGTCGTGGACCTTGTGTGTGTGTACATAAAAAGATAAAATGGCCGAGGGTGGGCCGTCCGAGAGCATGTACGAAGCCTAATTATTTCTTTTCTGTTTTTTTATTTCTTTCCGTTCGTATTGTTCGAATTTTGAAAATGACGAAATATAAAATGCCGCTCTCTCTTTCTCTCTCTCTCTTTCTTCTTGTCTATTTCTATTTCTATTTCTATATCAATTTCTCTCTCTCTCTCTCTCTCTCTCTTAGTCGCGACTCCTTCGATTTGTACGATTCGTTTCGAATGAATTAAGAAACAACAAGCCCCTGACTACCACCCGCCGCCATATGGCTCACGTAATAAACCGTCGATAACATTGTATATTTTTTATTAAGCCCATTTTTTATCGCGTGAAAACAAAAAAAGATATTAAAGAAAAAATAGAAAATGAAAAAGAAGAAATCGTAATAATATCGGCGTTAAAAGGGCGCGAGTGAATATAATGTGAATTATGTTTTAAATTGTTTTCTTTTTTAAGGAAATGATATTAATATTATTGTTATTATTATTATTAATTATTATTATTATTATTATACGAAACAGTGCAATGAAAATTGTTCGAGCGTGTGCTGTGCCACGATGTTTTGCGATCATACTTATCGTTAGTGAATTAGTTGATAAGAAATGTATTATATACGGTTTATATGTAAATTTATAAATATATATATACATATATATATATATATGAGTAAATTTATGTATACACGTATATATTTCCACGTGCAATCACATTCGACGCAACGTTTTAGAGCGAGATTTTCCACCCCCACCCTCCCCAATCCCCAATCCCCTATTCGAGAAAAAAAAATGCGAATGAAATGTTCGCACGCGTGTCCCTCGGGTAATTATTATTATTATTATTAATTGTGTCGTACGTAGAAGAGAAGATTTAAGGGAAATAAAATAAAATAAAAATATTTAAAAATAAACAAAAAAAAAACATTAAGTAAAGTAAAAATAAAGTAAAATAAATTAAAGTAAAGTAAAGTAATCTTAAACGTTATATAGAAGGAAAGAGAAATAATAATAATTAAAATAATAATAATAATAATAATAATAATAATAATAATAATAATAATAACAATAATAATATTATAATTAATAATAATAATAATAATAAATAAATAAATAAATAAATAAAACGTGGCAATAATCGGCGTATCCAAAATTGTTTTTTGTCGACAACGATCGTCTAGATTGTGCTATAAGTGACTAATACGATCGAATATCATCGAGAAGAACAATAAAACAATTACAACAAACTAATAAACGCGATGATGGGGTTTTAATGCATATTAATATGTGTATGTAATATGTATGTATGTGTTTGTATGGATATATTATATACACGCATACAGACACACGCGTATATTATTATTCATTACTATTACTATTACTTTTTGTAGTATCTTTTTTTCTTTTTCTTTCTTTTACAAGCCGAATTATAATTCAAGTAAAAACGATCGATCGATCGTTGAGTTTTTACAATTAGGCTCTTCCTAATTTCGATATACTCTTATTTAGCTGATCGCTAGGCGATTTTGAAAATGATAAGAAAACATTGATATTGTTAATCATTGAGAATGAAATAAAGAAAAAAAATAAAATAAAATAAAAAGACATTTGTGATCGGATGACGAGGGTGATGGGGGTAGGAACGACGCTGATTATGCGACGACCGTTTCTGAACGATAAATTCAATCATATTGATATTGATATCGATAGTGATGATAATGATGATGATGATGATGATGATGATGATGATGATGATGATGATGATGATGATGATAATGATGATGATGATGATGATGATGATGATGATGATGATGATGATGATGATGATGATGATGATGATGATGATGATGATGATGATGATGATGATAACGACGACGATTACGATGATCATTATTATACGAATAATTGTATTTATTACGTAACGGATGGTTGAGATTAGCAAGATAAATCTAAGTAAGATGTACATATACATATACACATACATATATATGTACACGTAATATGTATGTATATGTATATAGTATATTAATCGGTTTCGATGATGACGATATGAATGATTGTAATGTAAACGTTGAATTTTTATTTTCCATGATGATGATAGTTATGTGAATATACCGCTACAGTCCGATCCAAATAATCAAGCTTTTGTAACACTAATTATTAAAATAAAAGGTAATGATGATATTGCTAATCACGTAATTGTATCGCATACGGTAATTAAAAAGTTAAGGATTAAAATAAAGAAATTAATTAAATAATTAATTAACGGAGAATACGAATAGTGAGATTGAGAGGTGAATACTCTTATTATAATAATAATAACAATAATGATAATAATAGCACGATAATGATGATAATAATAATAATAATGACGATGATGATGATTATGATAATGATAATGGTGATGATAATAATAATAAATGAGAAGGATTAAATAAATGAATAAATAAATAAATAAATAAATAAAAATTAAGAAGCGAAGAACGATTGTGAGACGATGCACCAAAAATCTTTACAAATTCAGCGAGGTAAGTCGCTGTTGTGTGCTTTGATTCGAAAGAAAAATCGCGCCAATTTTTCTCTCCACTCTGCTATACATGTAATATCATATTCATTTATGCGCCTTGTCGTATATTACCTACACGAGGATCACACGTACTTATTAAACTAACCAACACGTACACATACAAAAAATCGAGTACAGAAAACGAGCTTTGCGAACACACACTCATTTTTACGAAAGTAAGGGAACGCGAATTATTACTTGTAAACTCAATTATAAATATACAAATTTACGCCTTGCGCCTTTTTTGCAAATTTCCTCGAACGCGAAAAATATTTGCTCGCATTTTCCTATTTTTATTACATAATAAAGAAAAAGAAGAAGAAGAGCAAACAAAAATGATGCACAAATAATAAAACGAATCTAACGAACAAAACGAGCAAGAAGAAGAAAAAAAGAAACAGAGAAATGTTTAAACAAAACGACGAGATAAAAGTCGTTCTCCCGTTTTAATAAACTCGACGTCAATTAAAACAAGCTGACCGACGAATGCTAATTAGCAAACAAGAAGGAAACAAGAAAAAGAAAAAGAGATAAAATATTATTTAACTCTCTCTCTCTCTCTCTCTCTCTTTTCGTACGACATGTGCATTTCCACAGGGTACTTTGAGACCATATTCGCCTATTTTTCGCCATACTACCTCACACACATTACACGCGCTACACACCCATTAAATCATATTACAAGACGTGCTCATACACAGGGTGTCCAACTGCGAAGAAAAGAGATAAAATTAATTAATAAATTAATTAAATAATAAATAAAAATACACACGAAGAAAAGAGGAACTGAACAAAAAAAAAATAAGAAAACAAATATTATAACGAAGAAGAAATTTTGTGCGAAAAGATTTTAAGGATAAAAAAAAGAAAAGATTTTTTTAAAAAGATAAAATACAAAAAAAAAAGAGAGAAATAAATTAATAACAACAAATGCTATTTTTCCACGCGAATGGTATAAACGACGAACAGAGGCAAACGAACAAACACACATATACACACGCGCGCGCTTCTCTTTCTTCGCATTTTTGAAGGACTCGGAGAACCGTGATTCCTTGAAATTCGTCCAGCTCCCTTGAGCCAGCACAATCTCTTCATTATTAAAATATGAATGATTAAGAGAAATGATTAATAAAAAAGAGAGCCAGTCCTTTTTCGCAGGAACGAACGAACGTTGAGATTTAATGCTTGCGGTCTTTCTTTCCTCTCTCTCTCTCTCTCTCTCTCTCTCTCTCTTTCTTTCTTTCTCCCACTCTCTCTTTCTCCCTATTTATTGTATTGTAAAGAAGAAGAACAACAAGAAAAAAAAGAAAAAAAGGAATGAAAGAAGGAAAGAGAAAATTGAAATAAGAAAATTGTTGAGGCTTTTTTTCTCTATGAGCTAGCTGCGAATCCATTCATGGATTCCTACTACTAATATTACTACTACTACTATTACTATTATTAATATTATTAATACTATACACTATTACTATACTACTATTACTAGTACTATTAACTAATACTCTCTAATACTATTATTAAAAATATTATTATTAAAACAACTAATACTAAAAAAACATAATAATTAACGCTATTATTACTTACTATCATTAATAATTATTATATGAAACCTAATTACTGTGAAGAATTTCTAAAGATTTTTGGGTATACGCTTAGTAAAGAGGTTCAGTGCGTGCGAGGAAATGGAATTACCAGGTTTCGGAATGGCTAAAGTTTGTGGTGACA